AACCTTGGGGATAGGCTCAAAATAAATGCCTCTGCTTTGTCTCTTGCTCTCTATTCATAAGCAATAAACTGCTTTACATAACATGCTCTGTCTCACTAGCTACAGGTAAGGTGGTACCCAGGCCAAAGGTACATAACTCTGAAATAGGCTGAGCACAATGTAGATGCTATTCCCATTTCTTCTAAAAGTCATGAAGGAGTTGGGCCAGGTGGTGTCTGCCTGTCACTCAGCACTTTGGAGGCTGAAGCAAGATGGCTCTGAGTTCCAGGACAGTCTTGGCCACCTGCTAAGCTCCTAGCTCACAACAACAACCAAACAAAAATGCGCAGGGTACAATTCCCGAGGATTTGGCTTTGTTCTCACTTTGATGGACAAATTACTCAACATCATGTCTGATAATGAGTAAAATCTGAAAGTGATAAGTAGTTCCAAAAGTAACACTGAAATGTGTTTTTATTCAATTAATGTTTTGAAAGAAGTTTTTGTTTTCTTGAGTCTTATATTTTTTTAATGATTTTGAGGTATGTAAAAATGATCAAATGGCACAAAAAACTCTTGCTACTCATTGAACATTAGATAAGGAAAAAGTACAAGAAAATTAAGACAAAAGTTCATGATAGGAAATGGACAGTAACCACTGAAGCACTGGAAGAATGGATGGAACACAGAACTCTTTAGTGAAGGCTAGGAGAGTGTACCTAGAATCCAAGCTACACAGTGAGGAGACTGTGCACCCAGGAGCTCGAGGTCTGCCTGGGCAACACAGTGTGACTGTCTCTAAAAACAAACAACACCCTCTACCCCAAAGGAAATCAAAGTCCATGTGATGGCCATAAGACACAATGAATGAGAAGAATCAACAGAGACAAGCAACATGGAAAACACTGGTAGCATGTGCAGCTTCAATCACAGTAGGGCAAAATCCTGAGAAAACATCAATGAGCACCTGAGGGTGATGCTGTGAGCAAACACTTCATATTAGTCACTGCTGGAACACATCTGCTTTATGATAGGGCTCTCTGAGAAATAACAAAAAGCAAGAAACTGACAGATTAGAGGAACAACATCAGCTATACTGACAATCAGTGAATCTATAATTTCATTCCCAGTAAGTGTAGGAGCTAATGTAGCCTGTTATTTTATTAATCACCACTAGGACGGAAAAGGATGACATATTATGACCAGCACAGCTGACGGAAGCAAGCAGGGCAGAGATGCAAGAGGCCCTGAGGCAAGGTAAGAGATCCCGAGAAGTCCCACACTCCGGTGGGCATGCAGACAAGCGGGACAGTTCACAGAAAGTCCCACACTCCGATGAACATGCAGCACATGGGACAGTTCACAGGACACAGGAGAAATCTTACAGAAATGACTCGAGCCAGGAGTGCCACTTCATGCCAGAAATCCCATCATTCAAGTGTCTGAGGCAGGGGGATCATTGAGAGTTTGAGGGCAGCCTCCACCGCAGTGTGAGACCCTCTCTAGAGCAAGTAACTGAAATTATCAAAATGGGGTGTGCTTAAGGAGATTTTAAATATTGCCTCTTTCATCTCTTTGTATGCTAGACAGCACTGTCTCATGTTGGTAAATAATACTGCTATACTCACTAATGTAAAGAGTACAGAACATCAAAGTGAGCGAGGCAAAGGGAGAGGCAAGAGCATAAAGCAGATACCCAGAAACCCACCACTGAAATGTCCTGTAATTAGCAGCATTGGTAAATATACAACTAAATCTCTTCTAGGAAGATTCTTAAAATTCGCCCAAGGTGCCCGGGGGAGTTGTGCTACACTCCACAGCACTTGGCTGTGTGCTCAGAGCATCTGTGAACAATAGCAGCTTTAAGGGTGTGCTACAGTCAGATGCTTCAGCATCTCAGCCTTGACTCACTACAGCAGACCACCTGTGAGCTTACGCTTCTGCACTTGCTTGGATATTCTGGGAGTAAATGGTCCCCCAATGCAATGACTCAGTGCATCGTAGTTCTCTTCTCTAACCTTTATGTTTTTCCCCAAGTTGAAAAAGGCAAGTGCAGTCACTCATCCAAAAGGGTTAAGAAAAGTCAAGATAATATTAAAATACTAAGAAAGAAAATGGGTTTCAGGAGAGGACTGTAGAATAATATATATGAATTGGAAGGTGAAGAATTTCATGTTGCATTAATAAGATTTAGAACACAATTGAAGCTTCCATCTTATTTCACCTTTCCAAGTTGCCCTGTGTCTAACACAGCCCATGGCACTAGAGCAGAAAGAACACATAGCACAGCCACTAATAAAGACAAAGGAAATATGGGATGATGGTTAAAAAGAGTGGTCTGGAAATCAGAGGATAGAAGTTTTAAAAAATCATTTAAAGATTTGGGTTATAATACTGAGAGACTTACCCAGCAGTGTTCCAAGAAGATAGCTTGCACTTGTGTATTTATACCTGTTGCATGGTTGTGTAGGTAAGATAACTGTGTATTTCTAACATGGACATGTCATGTATGTATGTGAGAGATAGAAAGAGATGGGAGAGGGGGAAGGGAGAGTGAGAAGGAGGGGCTTAAAAATGGAGAACTAACAGTTTTCCAATGCCTAAATAACAGAAGCAAGAAATGAAATTACTAAAACCTGAAAGATGGTTGGCGGGGGAGGCATGAAAATTCTGAGGAAAAATGAGCTCCAAACCAGAGTTCAATTCTCAGGAAAACTGAGCAATGTGAGAAAACCACGAAGGGATGTGCAGACACACAAAACCTCCGATTTAACAACTCACTTTCTTTCCTTGAGAGCTCAAGGAAAATAATGCCATGGGACCCGAAGAACAAAACTCTATGGGAGACAGGTGAAGGAAGTCTGCTGGGGGCCAACGAGGATGCTGCAGATGCCACACATCAGGCCAGGCAGACAGTACAGAACATAACTGAAAATGGATAATCGAGGGATGCCACCAGGAAAACAACCCAGGAGTTACAATTCCAGGGAGAGATTATTGACGAATTAGGGCTAAAAAATAGGAAATAAAGCAAATGGCAAGCAGAACCATGATCTCCCCAAGGAAAAGCTATATACAAATGGCTAACAGCTTCATGTATAGTCTCTTAATGACAACAGATATTCAGTGTGGGAGGAAAAGATAAAGAACTAGGCATGGGTATGTATGCAGGAGGTGGGAATCACAGCAAATGAAAAGTCAAAATGTAGTATTAATTGAAAACTCTAAAGATGTGGTCATGGCTACAAAGGCCAAGAGCAAACAGAATAGCTAAGAGTTGGAGTGTTTGGAGACTAAATACAAGAGCAGGACAGGATGGCGATGGGCCTTTCTGTACTTTGTTTTTCTTACAGAGCATTTAATACTCTTAACTATGTGTGAGAACAACATGATTGAAAAATACAATTCAGCAAGCATGTAGGAAACATGCACGTAACAAAGACAGTACCAATACGAGAGTTACAGGAGCCGGGGCTTGAGACCTTACAGGCACATTCCTCTATTTTATATAACAATGCTACAGAGTAGATGCTATTGCTTTTGCATTTTATATGAGGGAACAAGAGAAAAACTTCAATATTGGGTTGCAGTCAGGCATGCTAATCCCAGAACAAACACATGAGTACATCTACTCCTTAGGTTCAACTTTCAACTCATTCTACAGCTATTCTAAGCAACAGTTGTAGCCATCCATGGTGTTAGGAATGCTTGTGGTACAGTAAAGCAAAGGCATTGTACTTAAGAAGCTTAGAGAGAGGGGACACGGAGAAGACACATGAAGTGGCACAGAGGACAGTGTCTGACGACAGTCCACAGGTCACTTCTTACTACAGTGAGCAAAGATAGGAAAGCAATGAGGAGTCAGCCTTCTTCCTTCCTCCTGTCCACACAGTGGTGCTGAGGGGTAGACCCTAGGGCCCAGTGATATTAAAGATAATCTACTGATGGGCTAAATGTCATACCCCCTCTCCCAGTCAAGTCTTTTTATTTCATCCCAGTCAGTGGAGTACCTTGCCATCCTCATGGGGTCTCAGGAAGAATTGTTCTCAGGTCTGATAATGGTCTCATTTTGCATTTGTTCTTTCATAGATTAAGCTTTAGGGTTCTGAGAAATACTTATCAAGCCCAAGGTATGATGGCTAGTTTTGCCTCATCCAATCAGTTTACACTTTTTTTGTGGAACAGAAAGACTAAAAGGGAGAACTCTTCCAACTGTGAGGCCAACTGCACTCTTCCTGTCTGGGATTATTATAAACAGCCAGGTCTCTTGGTCTTGACCCTTGCACTAGTTTCCTTTCCTGTTGTGCTGAATCTGCCAGCAAAAATAACCTGAAGGGAAAACGTTTATTTGGATCACAAGTCCATCAATACTGATAAATCAAGTCTATAAGAACCTGAAGCAACTGGTCACATCATATCCAGTCAAGAGCAAAGAGCAATGAATTAATTAATGCATGCATGCTTGTGCTTAACTCATTTTCTTCTTCTTCATAAAGTTGAGGTTCTAAACCCAAGGACAGGTATATCCACTGTCAGCTGGGACTTCCCATATCAATTAACATAATCAAGACAATCACCATGCCCACTGGCCAACTACTCTCTTCCCAAGTGAGTCTAGACTGCGCTAAGTTATCTGCCAGTCAATCTGATCAATATTCAGGCAAGAATGACAGAACCATTGATATCTAAGAGGAAAAGAAATCTCCAGAAACAGCAGATGAACATTTGAAAACATACTGTCAAAAGTGAACTGTGGAAAATCCTCTGCGTTAGAAAGGAAGACAAAACAGAACACCTAGGTAACTTAAGATGAAAAAGACCCTAAAGGCATTTTTTAGAAAAAGACTATTTCCTTAAATTTTACCATCTTTAAAACAATATAACCCAAATGGTATCTTTGTCTTCATCACTGGGAACTCTGAAATGAGTCCTGATAAACAATACACAGTTTACCAAGATTTCCTGGTTGCACAGAAGGACACGAAGCCCGTGGGATCGGAGAGACAGTCCCAAATGCTTACCTGCTGGCTGTTTTCACGGAGCAGTTCTTCTTGTGTCCCCTTTCTGCTCGGTTATCCCTCAGAAGCTGATGCTATACAAAGTGTCAAGACAAGTTGTAGAAATAAAAATATTTCCGTTATATTAGTTTGCAATGAGGAAACTACACTGTAATCAAAGAGACACTGGTGTGCTCTGCTGTATGACTCCTTGCCACTCTCTTGCTAATGATGCCACTGGCACTGGTGCAAAAATGCCAGCCAGGCAGCAATCAGTTCTGATAACTGCAGATCTCCCAGCCAGTGAGCACATGGCCTGGAGCTCCAAGACAGGCTCAGGTGTGTCCCTACTGCTGCAGTGAAAACACCCTCTTTTGTCTACAGCTCTGACTGTTAGGTTCGGCTGCGATAGTTTTGAGGCCAATATCAAAGAGCTGATAATGTTTCTTATGTACATAACAGCCTGCAATAGTAGAAAATACACAGAGAATGTTCTCTAAAAAAATTACTGCCTTGGAGATATATATATATATATACATACTTCCTCCAAATGTCTAGCTATCCATATCCCTTCTTATTTGCTTTACCTCAAATTAACTAGAAATAAAGTAGATGAGAAAAAAAAAAACAGCCAATACTTTTCACCATGTGTTCACTAAAAGCATAGCTTAATTTACTTTTATACATAATTATGTATATGCAAGGCTAGGCTCAGAAATGCACACCTTACCAGAAATCAACCCAAGCAGAGAAAGAAGTTTTACAGGTACTAACATGGGACAGGCTTGTGCTCCAGCAAGTCCTCAAGCCTCTGCTTCAATGGCAGAGTCATCCATCAAACATAAACTGTGCGAGCTCAGGCAGAGTTCTATACTGTTCTAAGGTCTGGTCTCCACCCATAAACAAATGCTGGGGACACTGGACTGGCAGGCCGTGGTGTTAAGGATGAACCAGGGAAATGATTAGGCAGCACCAGGAGACTGGAACCCAAAGTGCTGAGGGCTTGATCTGGGAAAAGCAGTTGGGATGATGGCTATGGTTACAGAGCCTGGCTGTCTGTTTGTATGGCTGAGAGTACCAGTAACTTCTGATGAAGGGTAACTGTTAACTGTTCTGGAAAGTTCCACAACACCACTGAGGACTGAATGCTAATCTGGCCACTTTCTAGATGGACGACACTTTAGTATCCAGGAATGTCCTAGCTACGTAAATTCCTCTTAAGCACTGACTTATTTCCTCTCAAATCACCAATATCCCAGTCCAGACCATGGTTTTTCTCACTTGTCACAGCCTCCTAGATGGTGTCCCTCTCTGGAGCTTGCTCTGACCCAATCCACTCTGAGCTATAGTCAATATGAGCTTTCTTAAATGAATCTAATTTTATTATACTTGAAATAAAATTCAAAACCTTGTGTTAGGCCATCATGACCCTTCATAATTTGATCACACCTCTACATGAATAACTTGATCTGCTCCCTCCTACCCACAAGTCTAAGTCTTTACCTCTATATATCTCAGCCATACTGAACGTTTTACTTTGGGATATGGACCGTGCTCTTGCTCACAGTGGCTCTTTGCTTCAGTTTTTCAATTTATCAACATCTCCAGGGCTTTGTACTATTCTGGAAAATTTATAGTGCTCAATAAATACTTGTTGAGTGAATAAATGAATTAACGAATAAATGAGGCAATGAAATAGGGCATGAGATTTGGTATATGATATGTAGCTGAAGCCATAGCTCATTATTGCTACTTATAGAAAATAGTGACTATTTATCTTAAGTCCATTAATCTGAAAGTGTTTCAATTTAGAAACACTTCGTACCATGAAGGCTAAATTGGTTCTGAAAATAAAACAATTAATTGCTTTGGCATTTCTAAGTCTAGTGCCTTTATGTCTATATACAAATGAACATTTGTGCCACAGAGCATCAATGAGATGACACAGTCTCCTTCTCCATCTTAGATCCATGGTAGTTAATTAACTTCCCATCTTCAGATGGAAGTCCCTGGGACTATTCTCCTGGGGCTGGTATCAAAACAGTTCAAACACCTATAAACTGCATTAAGACAAAGTTCCATAGCTCTGATTTGAAATTGCAACCATGATGACAGGCTGTACCAACCTGGTCTGGGAAGTTTCCAGCCCACCACCTGGATGAAGACAAAGGAGATGATACTGACTCTGAACTTGGTGTTCTACTCTTCTGAATACCCCAAAATTCATGGTTTGGAAGGATATTGCATAAAAAAGACAATTACTGCAATAATGCACTTTATACACACAAAGACATGAAACTATCTCAGTTTACCAATAAAACCAGATTGAAGTCAACAGAGATTTTGAAATGAAGTTCAGATAAAAAGGTTTAGATGCCTGGACCAAGAGCAAGTTAATGCACGAAGCTCAATGTCTGGAGAACACTGAGAAGAATCTAGAGAAAGCCTGGAGTAGAATACACTTGTGTCTGAAGACTGAAAAGAGGCAGCAAACTCATAGTAAGGGCAGCTGCAAGGGCCACTCACTTGCCCAGAGAAGATCTCCATTTTTAATAGGCTCTTCACTGCTTTGTAGGACTTCTATCAATGTCACAGGTAAGGTCATTCTACTAGGGTTATGACTCAACAATGTCATGTTGGTTAAGAACAGCTTCTGGATATGGTGTGAAGTGCTCCAATCCTTACCTTCAGGATTTGAGATTGGGAGGCTCAGGCCAAACAGAAGCCCAACTCCCTGATTAGCCACCTACAGGTGTACATTAGAAAACGGCCTGCACAAGTACAGCACCAAATGTAGCAACCATGCACACAAGCTTAGAGCTGATGGAGTCAACAAGGAAGACAAGAGAGGGTAGCTCATGGCTTCGATGTATACAGAATGGAACCCAGATCAAAAGGAAGATGCATGTCCCTCTGCACTGCGGATACAGACCAAGTGTACCTGGTCAGAAGCAGTTCTGCTGGCACACCCCTTTAGGAATGCCTGAAATATCTGAAAAGTCATTTCAAATCTCCTTAGACTTGGCCTTTCAGTGTCCTCAACATTAAAGAGCAAATGGAGCACTATTTAAACCATGACCATACAATTAAACACACGTACACACAAAACACACACAGAGACACACAATACACAGAAAAACAGACATACATACACACATAGACACAGACAGTTGCAAACACAGACACAGCTGTCACCTTTTCTTTCACCTGAGTGGCCCTCCTGTATTTCTGCTTACCTACACAACTACCAACAGTCACTACCTCTATCAGACCACCAGCATCTGAGTGGAAAAACGATGCTGCTTTCTGTCTCTCTTTGTAAAAGTAGCAAGTATCTGACATACAACAGATGATGGGGAAGTTACATCCTAAGTGTGACAGAGGCATAATCATGTCATACAGCATGCAAACTGAAATAAGATTAAGCAATAAGAACAGAAAGGAATGGGAAGGTGGGGAAAGTAGTGAGGTGAGGATTTTAAAAGAAATTGGATCAATACTATCATTACTTTATGTTGCTACAATGGAATAAGAGAAGGTGACCACACAGCAACACTCATTCAACATTCTGTGGAGAATTTTATATTTCTTCATACTTTTATGTTTTATTACTTGGACCTGGGATTAGCCAATTGTTCTTTGTGCTATAGTTAGGTCAACCAGGGTTGAACTGAGAAATGATTATGTGTCACAATGTAAACACTGCATATATGCCTATCTGCTACCAAGCTAACTGATCCTCACTGTGCAGACTCCATAACTGTCTGTCACGCACTTGCTGGAAATTATTTTAGCACCCAGATCAATGCTTTCTGCGCTACGGCAGTCACTTGGTAGAACCCAGTCTCTTACATGAACCACACTATTCAGATGAGTGTCCTGTGCAGCTCTTGTACTGTGAACAGTTTTAGTGTATGTGTCCTTTGAATACAATACTTTGGCACTCCTGTGGCCCTCAGGAATAGTGTCTACTGCTAATAAAAAGAGAGCTTGTTATTTTAGAGAAGTGGACTGATGGGCTAGCAAAGAAAACACATGCCTGTCAAGAAAAGCCTTGCTCTGATAGGAGCTACAGTGTTATTTGTCAGAGCTTAATGTTAAAGAGTCAATGGTCTGATATTGAAACAGAAACACACACACACACACACACACACACACTACAAAACAAAAACAACAACAAAAACACAAGGTCTCAAACTGACTGGCTGATGAAGATCTTCGGACCAAAAGCTGGAAGAAACTAGCTCTGAACTTCCTCTAAGAGCACTGGCTCAGTATTCAAGAATTCAGTGTTTGAGTCTACTTACAGAACCCAGCTACCACAAATGAAAACATTACCTACATTTAGTAATTCATAACTTATCTAGTAGTCAAGATAAAAATGTAAAATGCACACCAAAGTTTAAGAGATCAAACTGAAAATTAGTCAAAAGGATTATGTTATTTAAAAAGTGAGAAAGAATTGGTAATTTTCCTCTTTAGAAGCTATGAGCGATAAATCCACTCTTTCTCCTGGTGCAGAACTGAGCCCAGGGCTTCTCACATGCCAGCACATGCTCCCCACACAGTCACAGCTCCTTAGAATCCCGTGAACTTTCAGACAGTGCTTTCCTTATGGATTGCATGACTAAAACATAACTCTATGATTCAGAAGAGCCAGGGCCCTCACAAGGAATCAAACACTAAACTGTAAGTTTTAGGACTCATCAAAATCTAACTTCTAAATAATCTCAGCACATTTTAAAGAGACAATTAATACAGTCAAGAACAAGGTAGAATACTTATTCATCTGTGGAGACAATTGAAGTGATTGCCCAGTTCCTGCCAGTGCAACTACTCACTGTGCTACCATGTACATCAAAAAGAAAGCTTAAAACACCCGCCTAGAAGTATGTCGAATCTTAGAAGACACTACTGCCTCCTCCTCAACTCAATAAAACAGCCTGTATTGCCTGACCTTACATGGTTTCAATTTACTTTTTTGACTTGGAATTTTGTGACAATTTCTCAGGCTGACCAGGGCCAGCATCACTACATGGATGAGGATACTTTTCTCCCAAGCACTGGACCACATACAGGCATATACTACCACATGTAGTATTTAGTAGTAAAGCCCTACATGTGACCAGCTCCACAGAGGTCACCTGTTTGAGGACTTTTAGATGCTTGCTAGGTCAGAAGAAAGCCCAGCACAATTAGCTCCTTTTATAACAAGCTGTTTTCTCTCTGCTTACTCACTACCCGAGGGAGACAGACACATACTGAAGGAGACTATTCCCTGTGGGTTAGAAGGTTCCTTACCTGGCCATGCTCCGTCCTAGCCCCAGGGCTAAACCAGTGGCTGTGGAGAGAAGAAGAGCTGTTAGCTGGTCCCTCCCCAGAAGCACTTGCTATCCCATGAATAGTCAGCATATGCTTTAAGGAATTTGTTCACACTAGCTACAGAACCTTAAATATGCTTTATTTTAATGGATATTTCATGTAATTCTAGACTTACACCAATTTTGACAGCAATGTAAGAGTGCTCATAACCCAGTAATTTTCAATTTAATAAGCAAACGGAGTTAGAATTACATTTCCATTTAATTATGTTAACATAAACTGCTGGGACTGTGTTCATTTTACAAATCAATTCTGGTTATAAAATCTACAAATGCTATCATTTGCCACAACTTAATTATAGCATCATTATGCCAAATTATGACCTTTTGATTATTGGAGTTATTTAAAAAGAGTTGAAAATACAAGAATATTTAATTCTGCAGCTCTGCACTAAGGACCAAACAAAACCAAAAAAAAAAAAAAAAAAAAAAAATCCCACATATGAATCCTAGACCATCATGGCCCACACTCTGGATACATTCCTTTTACAGCTACAGCCATCAGGATTTTTGGATCAGAACTAGATCCGCAACAGTGAAAACACAAGTCACTGCACAGTCAAAGCCTCCCATTATTCTACTGCCAAGCCCAGCCCTTTTGTCCCATGTCCCATACTCCATAGTCTCACCACACTTGTCAGTGGGAGTTCTTATTAGTTCCAGTAGCACACAGCATAGACTATTAAACATCTAAGACTAGGAAATTGAGGAAGACATTGAAAACATAGGGAATACCAGAGACTCAGAACAAGAGCATCTTTATGTACTATGGCCTCTTTAGAGACATGACATGGATTGTCAATCCTCATGAAAAACTTAGTTCCAGATATGGACATGAGGAGCAAGACTTACATTGACTGGCACATCCCTGGGGTCTCTCCAAGACTGCTATGCATTCTCTAGCTTCTGGGGCAGCTAGCTGGGAGGCCCAGCCTCCACAGGAGCAGGGCTTGGCTACATCTCCTCTAAACAATTCTGCAGGGCATGGCAGGTGATGTTACCTGGCAGGGCAGAACCCACACTGCTATGACAAAGGACACTTAACTGGTATTAGTGTGCAGTCTGGATTAGCTACCAGCTGGAAGCAAACTTTCAACGAGAGTTCCACTGACAGATTGACCAAAACTTCCTTTCTGCTGTGGATTGTTTTAAAGCAAAGTATTTAAAGATCAAATGCACACCCTGGTTAATCATTCATAAAAGGATTAAAAACAGCAGTCATCTGTGCCATCTCTCCCAACTCTAAAGGCCAGCATAGAAAAACAGAGCTTTTGCTCTTTTTCTTCTCAAAAACATGCGAACTTTTGTTAGAATATAGCACAGTGGTGGTGCATAAGTGATTTTATATGTTAACAACTGACTTCCTAGTATCATAAATGGACTCCTCACTAGCTGCTGATACTCATCAGTTAAGAGTAAGCTATTCTGTCACGGTTATGAAGTGCACACTTCCTGCCACTGAGCTGCCTCTACTTCTCCCACAGCTGGTGCTGACCTTACCTTTTCTCTGCTGTGTCTTTCTGCACTCCCTTCAGCCTCTTTTCAAGGAAGAGTCACATCTTTATCACCCAGTGATGGGGCGACGTCCAGAGCCTACCCTATTTTAAAGTCCGCCTTTTCTAGGGAACTTTGAGGTTTTCTGTGGTGCTTGCTGAACGTGTACCCTCCTCCCACCCGCTCCTCAGTCACTGCCCTCTGAGTCTGGGGCTGGAGCTTCCACCATGCCTGCCCCCCTCTCTCACCAGTTTTGCAGATCTCACCTTCACAGGACTTGGGGAGAAGACTAAAAATAAGTTTTCCAAGAGGCAAACACCCTAAGAGGCAGTTTGACCACTGAGGCTGCCCGGGGATTTAGAGCATGGAGAAATATAATTTGGCAGGCTTGGGAAGGGTCACTGGGGGACTTTGAGAGAAGTTCCAGGAGGTGAGGTGGGAGGGACACAGGAGGGTGTGGATGGAGGAGGATGTGAGGAAGGGAACAGGCCTACAGGAGGGGAAGCAGAGAGGAGGGGTAAACAGTGTGGGTGGAGGAAAGTTAGACTGAAGGAGCAGATGAGGAACCCTGGGAAAGAGGAAAGGACTGATGAAAACACAGGTGCTGGAGTCAACTGGGGCCCCAAAGAGTTGATTTCCTCTAATAAACAAAATGCAAGAGAGCAAAGGAAGGAAGGAAGGAGTGCCTCCATTCATTTAAATGAGTCTTAGTGAACAAAGGCTATGAACGAACGAGGAATGAGAGCTGGCAGAATATTAGGAAATCAAAATGTAGAGTCCAGGAGTTCTGGGTGGCTTTGCTCAGAGCTGAGTAGCAGACCCGTGAAACTCACTGGTCAGGTGGGCAGCAAACCTGTGCCAAGAGCTGACATGCAAATCTCCCTGCAGTGACACTGGTCTCAGGAGCACCCCACAAGCTAGACAGCATTTAATCCCCAAACTCTGAGGTAGGTGCTTTGCAAACAAAGAAACAAGCTCAGAGAGATGAAGCGATTTGCCAAAGATTTGATAAGCGAGTAACTGTTGGTGTTCAAAGGTCAGTATTGTGATTCTGAAGCCATGCTCTTCCAGCCACCATATCTGTGGCTCCCAATAGAAATGCAGCAACTGATGCCAAGAGAGTGATTCAAGAGTCCAAGCCTCCTGGGAACAAGGGGCAAGTAAAGGGGAGTAGACAGCAAGGAGAACCTTTCCTGGGCTGTTGGTGTGTTAGGTAGGAAAGGCTGGCCTCTGTGTCCACCATTGCAGCAATCCAAGTCCACAGCAGGCTGTTTCCTTTGGCACTCTGTCTACCTCACCCTGACAGATTTAGGTGCTTCTTCTTCTACACCTTCGGTACTTTTGCTCACACCTATCTCCTTTCACAAAATTAGGTTCAAATACCAGGGTATTTATTTACCCTGGTAGAGGAAGCTGGAGCTCCTTGAGAGAGGGACAGTATCAAGGGCAACAATCATGGCAAGGCAGCCATGAAAATACAAAGACTGAGCTATGAGAAGCAGTAGCCAATGAACTGCTGCATCTAACGAGTGCTTGTTGCTGGGAGCCTTACCTAGGGCCACAACAGGTCTGGCCAAGCCGTTCTCATCTCAACCTTATCAAATCTCAGTGCTCACCAGCATGCCAAGGCTGGCACCCACTGGAGTCACAACTGAACCCAGAATGTCTGGTTCTGGGCCCTGTGTTCTTAGCCAAACTTCCTTTTATTGCCTCCAGTTTAGTGTCATGAGTTTTGACAGAGAAGGGGCTGGGATTGTGTTTCTGGGCTGCTTCTCCCCTTTCTGTGCTCACAGAGCCTAGGATAATAATGAGGAATTTTAATAATCCTAATGACATTGTATTTAAAAACAGCTAGGAGCTGGGAAGATGACTTAGCTGGTAAAGTGCATGTTGCGCAAACACGAAGACCTGAGTTTGATCCCCAGAACCTACATAAAAAGCTGAGCAGGCAACATTGGCTTGTAATTCAGCACTGAGGAGGCCCACAATGGAGGATATCTCTTAGACTTGCTGGCCATCGATATAACCAAATAAGAAAGCTTCAGGTTCAGTGAATGACCTTGTCTCAGGAGGCATGATAGACAGAGACTATGGAAGATGCTCAGTGTCAATGTCTAGTGGGCATATACATTCACACACACACACACACACACACACACACACACACACACACACACACACACACACACACACACACACCAGATAAGAAATAATGGAATCAAATGGTAGTAGTGGCCTTCAAATGTGAGTGAAGCTCACATGAAGGGTAGTGCCCTGAATCAGAATGCAGTTGCATCGATGGATCTGCACTTGAGTCTGGGTTTCGGAGCAGGCTCACAGAATACTAACAGTGAAAGAAGTGGATAGAGAGGCGGAGACACAGGCCAGCAGTCTGCTCGAGACAGAAGAGCTGGATGTCACCTCTATGCTCAGTTCTCTCTGTGGGATCCAGGTACAGACTAGGCATATCTAGAAACAGCCTATCATGCTCAGTAAGGTTCTGCTGGATGCAGAAATCTGCACCTCCTCCTGAGACCTTGCTGCAGCCATTGTTCAAGCGGAGCAGTCTTCTAAGTACAGAGTGGAAGGGCTTGGGTTTGAGGTCTCTGTGGATGTTGAGTGCTCAATCAGTTCCTTCTCATGCTTCCACAATCTCCTTCCATAAGCACAGAGCAGCACAGCAGGTAGCAGCAGGGGACTGGATTTCACAAGCACCCACTAACATTACTCCTGGGCAAAAAGACAAAACCAACACCAAGATTTCTGACTGAAGACTCCAGGAAAACGTACTGGAGTAAATGGTAAAAAGTATAATAAAATGTACTTTTATATACATGTTGTTAGATAGAAGTTTTTCCTTTTGGACATAGAAGCGTACATTTTTTTTTAATAATGAGAGAAAGGTGTGTGTGTGTGTATGTGTATACACTCTCTTTCTGTGATGTTCAATAAAGTAGCCATTAGCCAGATCTATCTACTTAAATTTAAAGGAATATTAAATATCTGGTTCCTTTACTGAGCAGTCACATTGCAGGCCCAAAGGCACACATGGTGTAGGGACCACCACTACGTTCATTTTGGGTGTAGAACAAGTGCACTACTGTGAAAATTTTACTGGATGACACTGGTCTAAATGGGTTATTGTTGAAAATCTAAATTAACTTTGAAAATGCCATACAATTTTTTACCATAAACATCTTCCTTGGGAAGCACAGGTCTGTTTTTGATGAAATTTATAACTATGAAGTACACAAGAGAGATGAGGAGCTGGCTATGGTGGCACACACCTATAATCCCAGCATTCAGGAGACTAAGACAGGAGAGGCATGAGTTCAAGTCTAGTTGTATCAGAAATTATTAAAGTAAGACAATCCAGCATCAAGAAGCCATATGGCTAAGAACTTAGCCTTTGTAGCTACCTCAAATGCCAGTGAAAAAGCCTAAGAACAGGAGCTAACCTGTCACT